TATCTATCTATCTATCCGTCTGTCTGTCTGTCTGTCTGTCTGTCTGTCTGTCTGTCTACCTGCCTACCTACCTACCTACCTTCTAATTCCAGTCCAACTGGAATCCATCGTCCAACTCTCTTATGGACTGTGAGTGGTGCACAACATTAGAAACAGTAGAAACCAAAACAACAAGAAAAGAACATTCGACTAACATATAAAATCCTAAAAGCCTTACTACCCACCCTAACCCAAGGCCTGAGGAAAAAGCCAGGTTTTCAAGGTCTTTTAAAAATAGTTGGGGGGGGTCCTAGGGATCTCTGGGGAGATGATGTTTCAGAGGGCAGGTGCCACGATAGAGAAGGCCAGTTACCTGAGTCCCATCAGGGAACATTATTTAATTGACAGGATATAGATCAGTGTTTCTCAAATTTGGCAACTTTAAGAGGGGTGGACTTAAATCCCAGACTTTAAGAGGGGTGGACTTAAATCCCAGAATTCTGGGAGTTGAAGTCCACCCCTCTTAAAGTTGCCAAGTTTGAGAAGCACTGATCTTGAACATGCCTAGTGCCGGATTGTACAGGACAGGCAAGAATACTGTTGTCCCTCAGATAGCCAACCATCACATCCATAAACAATTGTTTCCTGAAATCATTTCTCTCGGGGTTTTTTCTGCCTCTTTACGTGGCGAATGTCTTTGCAGATTTAATGAAAGGAGCGAGTTGTTTCTCACAGATGCTGACAAGGAGGTTAACTGAGCACAGCAGGCTGTAATGTTGTATCTGAGTTATAGCATTTAATCGCTTAATCTTTCTGAACCTAGGAGGGAGCATGCAGTTTTTATGGCCTGAAACCATCAGTGACCTTTTCCCCACTCAAATTTATCAGATCCCACCCAAGAACTTTCTACGTTGTCAGCCATTCTCACTTTCAATTCTGTAATACACTGATGATACTTTCTTTAGTGGATCCAAAATTTCCCACTACAGCCCCAGGGTCAAATTTTAGATAGGTGGGGGTTAGGAAAAACCATACAGACTTTTTTAAGACTGGAAGCCTTATATGAGCTTTTTGTCGAAAGAAGAAAAGACTGAACTGATGATTTATGGGCTTGAGGATTAAAAAGGGTCAGAGAGGAAGGAGAAAAGATAAGATGGCAATACTTGATAGAAAGAAGGATGGAAGTCATAATTCTATGTTTTCTTTCTTTTTTCGTTTCTTTTCATTTTTCTTTTTCTTACTTCCTATTTTCTTTTTTTTTTCCCCTTCTTTTAATTTTGTATGCTTTTATTGTATTGAAAAATTCTAATAAAAATATATTTTTTAAAACTTTAGACAGTGGGACTTTAAGGCAGGAAAGCTACTTCCCTTTTTTATTTCTAAAGTATCTTGTATATTGTCCAAGAATATAGGCATAGACATCTGCAGGGAGTGTAAGAGGGAGCAAATGATGACATCTTATCTTTATTTATTTCTTTTTTCAGTTTATACAGCCGCCCACCTCATATACAAACTCTGTGGCTCACAGAGTTAAAATCACAAAAAACAAAATCCATATAAATAAATGGCCAAAAACAATGACAACAAAAATCATTAAAAACAAGTTAAAATAATTAAAACAATGAACCATAAAATGGGGGAGAGAGCCAACCAGTAGCTTACAAATAATACAGCCATCCTGTAATCTCCATACTTCCATGGGATATGTGTGTCATGATGTCACAACACAAAGTCTGTGACTGACATACAGAATGAAAGGATGAAAGGATCGATGTGGCATCATGACATCCCTGTATCCGTATTGTCATTTTTCATCTTTGGAGCTAGCTCCCGATGCTTATGAATCCAGAATGCTGCCAGATTCTGAGATTAGTTCACCTACCCCAAAGGTCTCCAGGATTTCAGGCTGAATTCTTTCAGTGCCTTTCCTAGACATCTTTTGCTTCTAAAAATGACTGGGCCAATCCACATTCATCTCCCCTTTTCCATCAACCTCACCCAACCTTCCTCAACCTGGATGCTCTTCAGATAGAAGGATTTCCATTCCCAAAATACTTAGCAGTCACTGGTTGGAAAATTCTGAGAGTCAAAGTCCATAACTCTGTAGGTGAATAACTGAGAGATGGCGACTCTCTTGCCAATCCTACATTCAAGCTTCTTTTCTCCCAGCACAGTGTACCAGCCTCCTGAACCTTCTTCTAAAATCCTTTGTGTCCCTCTAGATCCAAGATCTTTGTCTTCACTGATGCTGGAGCTAAAGATACGCATCTGAAGGATGAAGTTGAAATTCTGATTGATTCTTCTAAGTCTACGGTGAACTACGTGCTCACAGGCTATTGTGCCAGGAGGAAACGCAGAAGTAGGTCCATCTCAATTAAGAAAATATTCTGATGTTTTCTCAGGCAGAAAGAATAGGGGTGGGGAAAAAATCTGCCCTGTAATAAGCTTTGTGAATAATCCCACAAAAGTTGGTGACCTGCATCTTTGTTTTATCAGCTTCCTAAAAGGAAAGTACGTAAGTGACATTTCAGTACAGACAACTCGGGTGGAGAAGCCCTCTCCTCAGACTTTAGCAGGCTAATATGGGAAGGAAGGAAGGAAGGAAGGAAGGAAGGAAGGAAGGA